ATGTGTGTGTGTGTGTGTGTGTATGTGTGTGTGTGTGTTAGTGAGGGAGTGTATATCTCTATATTATCTGTTTCCATAAATTTGCCTGAAATGCATACTGGTCCTTTACTTGTCAAGAATCCGCCATGGTCTGCGTAGGTGGTATAAACGTAGACAGTCTATGGTAAAGGTACCTCAAAAGCTATTAGGATTTAAATGCCAAGATGTGATTTGTAGTTTTGAAAGAAAGATAAAAACATACCTCAAACACCTTGTAAAATTATTGAAAATAAAAGTAAAAGTTTGCTCACGATGAGAATCACATGCTAGGCCAATGTTTTGATCTGAGCAAGTGGGCAGTTTTCTTTAGGAACCATGATCCCAGTGGACTAGCAATTCTTGGAAGCTGTGAATTATTTTTGGAAGCACCACTAGTACCTTGTCCTTCCATCATGTCTGCTGATATGGTTTCAGCCCCTCGGGTGACAGCCATGAATAATTTGGGAGCACAGTGCCAATGTTGTTTGTTTTGGTGGTGAGGGAGGAGGGTGATGGAGTTCAAGGTTCTGGCTACCGCCTTGGTCCATTCTCTCATTCTCACATTATTTTGTGTATAATTATATATCAAGTATGTATGGTAAGTGATTTTATGACCTTGTTTCAGTTGTTCTGCAACACGCACACGTCTTTTTAAACATGACCCAAAAAAACCGTCTCATGAATAATAACAAATATGTCTGAAGCTCGAAGAAATAATAATGGACGTTTTGGGATTTGATCGCTATCCCCACCTCCTCCTTGTCCTTTGCTTCATAAAGAAATAGTTTTCTTTTTTTCTTTGATGGGCAGCACCACATGGGAGGACAGCTGCGCAGCACCATTACAGAGTATAATAATTCTTGCTCCCAGGGGATTTAACTAGAGGGAAAGTGTTAAATCAATCTTTATTCGATGAGTGTCCTCCCTTCTGGGGCCAAAAATATTAGAGGAGAATCCTAAATTAGTCAATCTCTCTTTCTTTCTCTGATTACGACAAAAACGGCTGCCAGTCTCCCCAGTGACGTCACTATGAGACACCCTCTTTCTGGCATCGTCTGAGATCAATACCCCACGGAATTGTTGAGTACTGCTTTAAAGTGCCCAAGTACTTGTAGAATACATCAGATGTGGGCCTGTCAAGGCCAATATCAAAATATTTTTTGTTCTACACATTAATTATTCCATATGGTCAGGTGGTTCTGGTTGCTGTTGTCGAAGTTATTGTTGTTGTTGCTCTTTGTTGTTTAGTTTCTTTGTATTTGGTTCTGTTGTAGTTTTCCTACCTGTTTTATTTGCTGGTGGGTTTTTTTGTTACTGTTGTTGCTGCTGCTGTTGTTGTTGTTGTTGTTGTTGTTGTTGTTGTTGTTGTTGTTGTTGTTGCTGTTGTTGTTACTGCTGCTGCTGTGGTTGTTGTTGCCTT